AGCCGTCATTGTTGTTTGGCGGGCCTGGGCTGGATTCAAACCCACCACCTTAGGTGTATGTGGCTGGCGCCTTAGCCACTTGAGCCACAGGTGCCGAGCCATTAATGGTTTTAATTTAACATAAAATACATATCTTTCTTGGCACCCAGTATTTTTGATACTATTTCTGCTTGCTACTGGTATATAGAAATGCAATTATTTTATATATAGACCAATTACTTCACAGCCTTGATAAATTATCTTACTAATTCTAATAATTTTTCTGTATATTCTGAGTAGACAACCATATGACCTATAAATCAAAACAGATGTTTGACTCCTTATAACTATTTATTTTTTTTCTTATCTTATTACTCTGCTCAGACATTAAATAGAATGCTTAAATTATAAGAGTGGAAATCCTTAACTTATTCCTGATTTAAAGGAAATGCTTTTAGCCCCTCATTCCCGCTGAGCAGTCGCTGTAGAAGTAGACAGCCTTTAACTATTAAATCTGTACATAGTAAAATCAACTCTGAGTTTTCATGCATGTGCACCTTTAGATAACCACCTCCACAGTTAGGATATAGAACTGCTGCATCACCCTAAAACACTTCTACATGCTGCTCCAGTGAACCCAAATCCTCCCCTCCCCTCAATCCTGACAACCAATGATTAGTTCTGTCCCTGCAGTTTTTAGCCTTTTCCAGAATGTCATATAATGGAAACATAAACTAGTAATCTCACAAGAATGGCTCTGAAAACTCGTCCCAATGCCTTTAAAGCTAGCAAAAATTACAAACTCAGGGTTTTGCTGACGTTAACCCATCCGTGCTGTGTACGTTCCTGGGCAGCCTATGACATTTCCATGCACGGACGGTAAAAGCCGCAGAAGAGGCTCATTATGACACTTGAACTTCACGGACAAACTGTTGCTATGGAAATCTCTTTTTGGGTCACCGCCTTTTTTTAAAATTCATTACAATTTTTGATGGCAGTTTGGTGTGATAAGCTATCCCTGACATTTCTAACTGTCCATGAGACAATTATAGACTTGGAAGCATCCTCAGAAATCAGAAGGGAGGCATTGTGATGAACATGGCCTCTGGCTGAGCAACGCGGACATGGATTCTGCCTGCTGTTCTTAAATTCACCTTTTACTGAGTCTCAGTTTCCTTATCAGTAAAATGGAGAAAATAAAATAGGTATTTCATAGATTTTTGAGGAAGTTTAATGAGATACCTCATGTAAAATGCACAGCAGAGTGCCAGGCACACAGCAGGCTCCACAGGCAACTACTGTTAAGTCTGGGATCACTCTCAATGTC